GGGTGGGAGATATTAACTCAACTTTACAGCTCGCCTGAAATTTGTGTGTACCCAAAATTGAGGGAACAAACATTCTGCCTCTTAAGTTGTGTAGTTTTCGCAACAAACGCACTCGTGCTGAAATGTTGTAATGTTGGAAAACGCTGTAATAAATTTGCGCACAGCACACAGAGAAACCAAATGAGCAATCAGTTACTGGAAGATAGCTGTTGACTTGTGCTCGGTCTGTTATGTTGATTGGCACCCACTCCTGTACAATGTGGATGAATCTCTCGGCTGCTCCACTACAGGTTAGCAAACTGATAAGCACCAGGCATTTATTTCCCCTTATCAGCCTTCCGCAGGGACCGTTCCCTCTGGGACGCCTTGGTCCACTCCCAACACGCCCCACACCATGCACCCCAATCGCAGAAAGTGTTTACTTCCTCCTTCTTCAGTACCCACGGTCGCTGGCACACCTCACAGGTGAAGCAACATTTTACCTTCAATCTAGTCTACTGCATTCACTGCTCTGCAGCGGGGGAGACAAAATGCCGACTGGGTGACCACTTTTGCTCTACTCGCAAAAAAGACCCTGAGCTACCTGTTGCCTGCCATGTTAACGCACCACCCTGCTCCCTGGCCAACATCTCTGTTTGTCTCTGGCTTTTGCTGCAGTGTTCCAGCGAAGCCCAACACAAGCTGGAAGAACAACACCTCATTTTCCACTTGAGGACCCTGCAGCCCTCGAGTTCAGTAATTTTAGGGCCTGAACACCTTCCTCCATGTCGTTTCACCACTCCCACATCCCAGGCCCTGTCTTGATATGGCCTGCTTCCAGCGCAAGCAACCAATTCTGACCCACTCCCAGCCCCGGCTTATCATTATCCACTGTTTTGTGCTGAACTGTTTTTTAGACAGACGCATGGAAGGCAAGAGATGGACCATGTGCAGGCAGATGCGATTAGTTTAGAATGGTATCACAGTTGGCACAGGCATACTGGGCTGAAGGGCTTGTTCCTGGGCTGTACTGTTCTATGTTCTCTCCCTCTGAGTTCCATCTCCAACCAACCATCACTCACCCCTTTAAACATCTCCACCCTACAACACATTGTCATCCACATTTATGCCACCTTTTCCAAGGGGCTCTGAAGAAGGGTCACAGGACCCAGACATTAACTCTGTCTCTCTCTCTCTCTCTCTTCTGTCTTTCCACAAACACTGCCAGACCTCCTGAGTTTCCACAGTTATAGAGACATACAGCATGGAAACAGACCGTTTGGTCCAACTTGTCCATGCTGACCAAGTTTCCTTATCCAAACTAGTTCCATTTTCCTGTGTTCGGCCCATATCCCTCTCAACCTTTCCTATCTATTTACTTCTCCAAACATCTTTTAAATATTGTAATTGTACTTGCATCTACCACTTCCTCAGGCAGCTCATTCCATACACCTCTGTGTGAAAAAGTTGCCCCTCAGATCCCTTTTAAATCTTTCCCCTCTCATCTTAAAAACATGCCCTCTAGCTTTGATCTCCCCTGCCGTAGGGAAAAGACTTTGACTAGTCACTTTGTTTACTTCTCTCGTGATCTTATAAACCTCTTACAGGTCACCCCTCAACCTCCTAGACTCCAGTGATAAAAGTCCCTGTCTATCTAGCCTTTCCTTATAACTCAAACCCTCCAGTCCTGGCAACATCCTGGTAACTTTTTTTCTGCACCCTCTCCAATTTGATACCATCCTTCCTAGAGCAGGGTGATCAGAATTCTAACCAGTACTCCAAAAGTGGCCTCACCAACGTGCTGTACAACATCAACGTGATGTCCCAACTCCGATGTGCCATGTTCCAAATGCTTTCTGTACTGCCCTGACCACCTGAGACACCACTTTCAAGGAACTGTGTCAATGACGTTCCCCAAAGCCCTACCATAAACTGACATAGTAGGAACTGCAGATGTTGGAGAATCTGAGATAACAAGGTGTAGAGCTGGATGAACACAGCAGGCCAAGCAGCATCAGAGGAGCAGGAAAGCTGACGTTTCGGGCCTAGGCCCTTCTTCAGAAATGGGCCTTCTTCATTTGGCCTGCTGTGTTCATCCAGCTCTATACCTTGTTATCCCATTAACTGAGAGTGTCCTGGCCTTGTTTGCCTGACCGAGCGAGCCACCCTCTGTGTGTAAAAGGTGCCTCTCAGGTCCCTTTCTGAAACTTGCGCCTCAAAACTACGCCCTTAAGTTTCCTTTCAGTGACACCTGATACCTTGGTTTGGCATGGCCCTTTCCTGGCCGTCTCTTCCATCCGCGGCACCAGACGTGGTTTGGCGTCATATAGCTCGTCCAGGACGATGGTACGGCCCTGGCACAGGCGGCTCATGCAGGCTTCAATCATCCTCGCCAATGCTGGAACAGATGGGGAAGGGAGTCACGTCAACTCTCGTCGCAGAAGGGTACAACTTCAGACCAAGGTTAGGGTGGCGGGGGAGCTGAGAAACAATGATGGAGTGGCAGAGCACAGCCCCGATGGGCCAAAGGGCCTAGATTCTGCTGCCGTATCCTTACACCGACGCCCCCCCCACCACACCAAGCAAGGTCAAAAAGTTGTCAATGTTTGAAATCCTATGAGATGGCACCATCTTTTCCAGCCTCACGCAGCAAATTCCTGCGGTTTTCATCACGGGACGTGGGCACCGCTGGCTGGGCCCTGCATTTATTTGCCCCCCCCATCCCTAGTTGCCCCCTTGAGAAGGTGCGGGTGGGCTGCCATCTTTAACCGCTGCAGTCCCCATGTGCTGTGGGCGGGTAGGCCCTGAAGGAACCGATAGGAGGTACCTCAAGTGAAGAACGAACCTCTCCCTTTCTGTTCGATTTGGCCTGTCAAGTTAGCCATCCCGGTCGCCTTGGCGTTCCCAACTTCCCACCGTTATAATTCTCTGCTCTTGGTCTGAGATTTCTTGGACAGCCCTTGGGAATATGGGGATAGTAGGAGCTCCCGATGCTGGAGAATCTAGGAGATAATAAGATGTGGAGCTGGATGATCACAGCAGGCCAAGCAGCATCAGAGGAGCAGGAAAGCTGACGTTTTGGGCCTAGACCCGAAAAAAAAACTTCTGAAGAAGGGTCCAGACCCGAAACGTCAACCTTCCTGCTCCTCTGATGCTGCCTGGCCTGCTGCGTTCATCCAGCTCCACACTGTGTTATCTTTGGGAAGACTCTTTCCCAGCAATGCAGAGGATAATGAGTGAACGGCACACAGTTTGAAGGGCAGTGATTTTTTCGATCCGGCTGTGTCCGGGGACAGGACGGGTTCCGAGACGGAGCACCTGAACCTGAGAGCAACCCAGAACTGCCAACCCCTTCACCCCTAGCGCACCCCCGCCCCCACCCATCAGGCTGGGCATGGTGGACATACTCTGTCCATTGACCAGATGGCCTCCGGCCAGGCCCTTGGCTCGAGCATCCAGTATGTGCTCCCTCAGCCTCTCCGTCTGCATCTGGAAATCGCGGTCCAGCTGCCCCTCCAGAACCTCGTCCAGCCTCTGAGCTTCGGCCTCGGGACACGGGTGGCTGAACTCGAAGCATCTCTTCTCGTGGAAACGCTGCTTCAGGAAATGGCTGACCGAACAGTCGCCACCGGAACCTGTGAAAGAGCGGGGTAGGGGTAGGGTGTTGTGGGGTGGAGTTGGGGAAACAGAAAAACACACCCGCCTGAGAAATGGCCAAAGCAAAACTGACTCCGAGCTTCAAGCCAGACCAATACATCGTAGGCTATTCAGCCCATAGAATCTGCGCCATCTGGCCAACCTGATAACCCTCAAACCCCACTCTTCTGCCTCCCATGCCCCCCCACCTTGATCTGCCGTCCCTGATTAAAAACCTGTCAGTCACAGCCTTGAATACGCTCAATGACCCAGCCCCCCGCGATTAAAAAAAAATTCCACATTAAATTGCCTCTTCCCATTCTCCACTTGGAGACCATGATAGAGAACGAGCTATTTTCTCCATTTTACGACAAGTGGGGGGTGGGGGGGGGGCGGGAATTGAGAGAATTTTAAGGGTCCATCGTTTTTGGCACTTATGATGAGGCACTATGTTCACAATTCTTAGGAATTCTCAACCCCTGAGAGCTGTGCGCACTCAGTCACTGATTATATTCAAGGCAGCGAGCAACAGGTTGGAGTGGCACGGTGGCTCAATGGTTCGCACTGCTGCCTCACAGCGCCAGGGACCTGGGTTTGATTCCACCATCGGGTGACTGTCTGTGAGGAGTTTGCATGTTCTCCCTGTGTCTGCGTGGTTAAGTGGTTTGGCTGTGCTAAGTTGGCCCGGGTGACCAGGACTGTGTAGTTTAGATGTTTTAGCCATGGGAAATGTCAGGTTATAAGGGTAGGGGGATGAGTGGGAGCGGACTTGTTGGGGCTAATGTCCTGTTTCCACACTATACGGATTCTACAATTCTATGGTTCAGTGTAAAGGGATTGGGCAATGGTGCCCGAAGGTGGCTTTAAGGGAACGGACCTTGCTGAGTTATAGTTCTCATTCGATCAGCCAAATACACAATAGCAGAATCTAAGTAACAGGCATAAGGGGTCACCTCCTTTCGCTGTGTAACAGAAAGTCAGCGCCAAGAGAGCGCAGCGCTGTTGGGGGGGGCAGCGCCGGGGGAGCGCAGCGCTGTCGGAGGGGGTCAGCGCCGAGGGAGCGCAGCGCTGTCGGGGGGTGGTCAGCACCGAGGGAGCG